GAGACTCACCTTTTCAGGGACCCCAGCAGATCCACTGTGGCCACAAATCAAGTTGTCAGCAAGTCCAGGGTAGTGGCTGAGGCACTCCCTTTGTTTGATGATGGTGATGGTGGCTTCCCGTAACATGGCACTTGGTGTTTTGTGGCCCCAGCCAGCTATGCTGCATGCAGTCCCACCAGGGACTTTTGATTTTTCAAAGGAAATGGTCCTAACATAGCTGTTGCTGGTGGCATTGCCTTTCAGCTGAACAAGGGGACAGAAAATACAGAAGTAAGTGCTTGGTCTGTAAATGCTCTATGATGAAGTCTGTCTCCTCCTGCTCAGCCCTGCACGTTGAGCAGAGAGGACCATGCAGGTGCTCCAGGCAGGTAGTTACCTTCAGCAAGAGGATGTCATTTCCTCTCTGAGGACTTACGAAGTCTGGGTGGCAGTGGTACTCTTGGACTTCAAATGTTTGCCAGCTTTCCTCTCTCCTCTGAATTGTGTGGGCTCCAAGGATGACAGTCAGAGGTTTGTGTCTGGTGAAATCAAGCACAGGGTATGTCATTAGCTTTCTCCTGTCTTCCCTGGTAACCCTGAGGCACATCTCCTGGGGGCATGGCCAGCAGAGACTGGCTGGGCTTCTAAAAATGATGGGAACAAGAAGCTCTGCCAGTGACTCTACTCAGCCAAGAGGCAGAGCAAGTTCCCATCTGACAGACTGGAGCTCTGGAAGGGTTACTTTACTTCTGGATCTTGCACTGAGCATATCTAGTCCGATGCTGCTGCTATTTACTAAGATATGTGGACTGTTGGTCCAGGCTTCGTAGGCCCATGGAAGTCTGTGATACCAAGGTTGGAGTCCTGCTCTGGCAGGGGCGTTGGATTAGACGATCTTTCGAGGTCCCTTCCAACCCCTAGCATTCTGTGATTCTGTGCAGTTTCTAAATGAGGACACTGCTCTGGGCCAATGTACCTTTACTGGTCTCTACATCATCTGCAGAAGGGGCTGCCAAAGGAAAACCAAGAGGGGTGCTGGGATGCGTGGGAGCCCCTCTCAACCTAGCAGGTGGGACCCGGGCAGCCAGGTTCCTCGGTTCTACTGATCCAGACGTTAATGTCTGGAAACAATAAAATGAGTTACGGAGGGGGAATAAAAAAATAAAGGTAAGAATCTGAGCATGGGCTGTGGAGGCACCCAGGGATGGCTGGCCGAAGGTATTGCTGCAGACCCGCTGGCTCCAGCCCCCGCAGCCTTGTCTGTCCTGGCAGCGCAGTCTGAGCTCCCTGTGAGGGGAAGAGTCCAGCCATGGCCGAGAAGGAGGTGACTCAAACTGTCAGACCTCCGTCTTGGAGAGGTCACCCGGATCATGGCCATGCAACAATCTCATTGTGCCAGGTGCTGTACGAAAGTAGTAAAAACTTACATGAAGCACTGAGCCGCTGTCATCACCCAGTTTGGGGCCACGAGGAAGCCTCCGCAGAAATGGTTGTTCTCCCCTTGCAGATAGGCCACGTAGGGTGTGAAGTGGGTCTTGGTTTTACCTCCTCCCTCCATCCAGTTCCAGGAAGAATCTGCAATGGATGGGACTGCAGATGAGGGGATCAGAGGGCGCAGGATTCCTCCTTCCCCAGCCCTTCCCTTGCCTTCAGCTGCTCTACTTACTGGCTGTAGCCGAGGAACATGTCACCAGGAGGAGCGAGAGCAGGAGCTTCTGCAGGTGCTTCATTGTAGCGTTCCTGGATTCGGTGGGTCCCTTGGAGGTGAGGCTGCAGCTGGGGTCTCTTTCTGCTCCCGGCAAGGTTTTATAGCCTAAGACTAGACTCCAGGAAACCACAGAAGTCAGACTCATCTGATTACTCTATCTGCAAATTGCATACCTCAGCAATTTGAGAGGGGAATTTAGTCTGTCAGCCTTAGCCCTAGGCATCAACCCACCTTCATTTTTTCCCTGACCTGAGGTATCTGATGTGCTTCTAAACCCAGAGACAATTTTAAGCCATTGCCTTTGAGCTGGAAGTTGTAGGGACCATACCCAGCCTTATTACTTTGTCGGCCAGTGTGCTCTTCTCTTGTAGCTTGTGTTTGTTGTTGTGCACTTGCAAACTCTCTTGATTGTTATCGTGAGCCCTGCAAGAACAAGATTACTTCGATTCAGTGTACGAGTTCCAACGACTGCAGGGGCATTGGAGGACTCTTTCTTGTTCTCAGTAGGTTTGCTCCTGGTTAATAGAGCAAAACTGGTGTGAGGACATTTGTACCACCACACTGATCATGGTTACGTGAGGGCAAGAAGTTGTTATGGCAGCTTCACAAGGGTGGCCGACAGAGTATAACTGCTGCTGGCACCATGAGGTCTCTGTTCTGCACCAGCTGCTGACTTACAGTTCTGCTTTGTATGGCAAAAGACACCCTTTTAATCGTTTCTTTCTAGTTGTAGTTGTCCACCGTTAAATTGAGGAGTTGTCTGTCTCTTACCAGCCAGTGTGAGAGAAGGCAGGAGGACGCTTCCTGGCCCTGGGTCAGGGGTTCACTTTCCCTCTGTGTTGAGGGTGAATGGAGGCAGGGATGCAGGTTTGGGTGCTGGTTTGGGATGCTAGAGTTAACTGGGTGAAGCTGGTCCTGGTCCTCTGGGAAGGGTCATGTCCAAGCATGTCACAATCCTACCTTGACAGGCAGTGATTTTTGAATGCCAAACAAATGTCTTTCTGCAGAGCATGGTGAGGATCTGTCTTCCCAGGACCAGGCCCTCCAGCAGCTCTGCCTCCTCCTTCTTCTCCAGCCCTTGGTGAGGGGAGGAAAGGCTGGTGGTAAACCCCGAGCCTGTGCAGGCTCCAGCAGATGATGGAAGAGAGGCATGGCTGTGTGCTTGCCCTGGCAGCAGTTCCTTCCTTCGGCTGTGATGAAATGGGTCTGATTCGTCCTTGCTGCCCTCAGTGCCAGTAAATTCACCTTCCTATCAGCCCCCAGTGCCGCAGGGCAAAACCCATTTTCAAGCTAAAAGATGCCACACTCGTGCAAAGACTGCAGCAGCTGGAGCTTCAAGGAAAACCCTGACGTGACACAAAGGTTTGTACTACACAGATAAGCAGTTGGAGCCTTTTCAATTGCAGATTTCCTAGCTGATAGCAGCTGTTAGCAGAAGACCAAACCATGGACCCTTCTCCATTTTCCCAGGGTAGCATGGGTGCTGAAGGCAAAGGGGACATAGTTTCTCTTTGTCCCAGGAAAGAAGAGGGAGAAGACCAGATGTCCAGGGCTGACTGCAGTCCATCTGCTCCCTCTGATGGAGGTGGCTAGTGGGAGCTAGGGAGGGACCATGAGAACAGGGCAAGCATCCCGTTCTCTTGAACTGCACGCAGTTTCTATATATTTAAAATTCCCCACCGGGTTTCCCCACTCTCTTGAACTTGTGCAGACATCTGTCATTCTGCACCATGGAGTTATTTACAGATGCACTGTCTCTGCCCCTTGTTATCTCCTCCAGGAAAGTGTCTCACACTCTCCTATCTGTATATGAGAGATGCTATCAGAAACTACCTGGAACAAAGGAGACCAGGGCTCAGAGTTTAGGCAAGTTGCTTTATACCCAATACAGGCCCATGGAAGGAGGGACTGGTGCAAGTTATTCAGACTCTGGTGCAGGGGCTGTCTGAAAACGGTGCTAGAGCATCCCTTGTGTGGAGGAGAAGCTCGCTGCTGAGCGTCACCTGACTGAGGGGAGAGTCGTAAGCCCTTTTGATTTTGTGCTACTGCTAGGACAGCCTCTGCGAGGGCTGGATTTGCCTTCCTGAGAGGGACAGAAACATGCCAACCAACTCCAAGACTCCCAGCTAGGACCTGCCCTAGCCTTCTCCAGGGACAGAGTTGTGCTCTCCTGTGATAGCTGGCATAGAAGGAATGGAGGAAGTGGCAGGGGTCAGATGCTTTTGTGACCCCAGGTTCTTTATCAACCCTTCCAGTACAGTCGTGTCAGAGACTGAGTCAATGTCTCTACCCAGGACATCATGCTGCTGTTCAGGAGATGGAGGACTTAGGCTGCTGGAGGATAGCAGAGGCAAAGGCTGAAAGCGCTAATGTGCAACGACTAGGACTTTGAGTATGTCTCCTCTACGAGATCCTACAGCTCCATCCCTGGGATCTCAGCCACCACCTGCCCTACACCCAAGGTGGAGGCATGAACAGCCTGGTCCACAAAAAGTCCAGGCCCCTTCACTTTCTAGAGCTTTTTACTGCTAAGAGAGTTGGAAAGACAAGCCTGGTTTCCCCTTTGACCCAGCCTGCGGTCTTGGTTGCCCTAGGTCCTAGGGTGCAACATCACCCAGGCACAAGGTCCCTGCAGAGGGGACAACGATTTCTTGGCAGGGAACAGCAGCTTTTGACCTTGGTACTTGCTGACACATAACGTCCTAGCTGTCAGCTGCTCCAGGCAGATGGTGACATTGCTGCAGTTGGTGAATGGAGTGTGTGTATATCGCTTTTCACAGGCCATTTCTGCCTGGGCAGCCTCTCTCTCTGTAACACACTCACCCCCATGACCCCTGTAGCTCTTGTCCTCCAAGTCTGCCATCAGTTCACTGGACCACCTCTGTCCCAAAAGGCTGGCCTCCCCCTCCCAGCCGTGAGACCCTCCCTCCCTTCTCCCTGGTCGAAGTATGAGAAAGAAGACGCACACCGGGGAATGCAGCTCTGAGTTTACTGTGGGTGTTCTAAGTGCAGCAAGGCTCAAGAGGAGACAGGGTTATCTCTGAAGGGGGTCCATTGCACCTATTTCTGGTGCCATCCAGGATGATCCCTGCATCTGCTCGGGTGATTTCACATGGTCCTGGATGGGCTGCCTGAGACAGGCGGGGAATGGTACAGCCAGTAGCGTCAGGACAGAAAGCAAGGGACCGTTCTGTGCATGGATCAGGTCACTCCGGTTCCCAAGGAGAGAGGAGGGAGTCAAGCCTTTAGTGGGGACAGGAAGGAAACCAGTGCAGTCTTCAGAGCTGTGCCGATGCTGGGGCCATTGCTGCTCCTACTTCATGATCTTTTTGATCCAGGGCAGGTAGTTGGAGATGCGGGTGTAGACCCCAGGCGGGGTGTTATACCCAAAAGAAACGATGCCTTGTGCCACCTTATTGCATACCAGGGGCCCACCGGAATCTCCCTGAGGATGGATGAGAGACTGGTTTAAGAGGCTGCTTCTCTCTGGGAACAGGTTTCACTCAGACCCTCCCTGACTGTGCATGGCCAGCAAGGCTGTATCTGCCCCAGACCCTCAGCTCTGCTCCTGCCCATGTGCCCCCTGAGCTGGGGCCCCACCCCTGGGGCTGCATAAAGACCATGGTGTCAGGGCACCCAGACAGCTAGTCCACATAGCAGCTGCAAACCAAATGCTCATCACCTCTCCTGGGAACCAGCTAAGTCTGTGCTGGCAGCAGCTCCTGCTACCAGAAAGCCTGACTGCTCCACGGCCAAGCCTCTATCCCGTT